CCCGCATTAGGTCAGGTGATAATACAATGAAGGTGAAAAACATGGGGGGATACATAAGGGATAAACATAGGGGCTGCAGAAGGCTTATTGGCCCATACGAGGCATCTCCTATCTAAACACAAAGATTAATCCAGTGTAATTGGCCTGTTATGTTGGACATTGTCTTCTGTGTTGGCATCGATATGTTCTTGTCTTGTCCTTACTCTCATGGTGGGTAGAGTAAATAGTTCCGTGATTTGGGTGTTCATGGTAGGTCGCTCTATTCTTATGTGAATTGCCTCAAGAATTTGTAATCTTCTTGAATATTGGGTTTTGTCTATTATGCAAGTATTCTTGTTCAACATTTCTCTTGTTAGAGTAATGTCATGGGCTTGTCTCATGTGATTCCTAGGGGCACCAGATTGAAGATGGCATGTCAAACGCCTCGTCAGCTTGGTCGACGTCATACCTATGTACTTACATTGAAGGTTACATCCTTCGTGGGGGCAAGTGTACATGTATACAACGCTTGACTGCTGTAGAGGGTTCTCCGTCGGCTTCGGGCTGTTTTTGATAAGGAGTTCGGAAGTCTTCTTGGTTTTGTAGAATATTCTACAAAACCAAGCAGGTCAGCGTGAGTGAGCAAGAGGTGGGAGGGGCAGCCAAGGGAGAGCAGCGGGAGTCTGTGCGTTGGTCGGGCTCCTGGGCAGGTGAGTGGAAGTTTGTCACCTCTAAAGTCCCCCGTAACGAGAAACCACAGCGCGACCACCACACAGCCACGAGGGAGCGTGTTGATGTGACGCGGAGCAAGAGTTAAATTTGGCAAAAACGAAATTAACGTTGAAAGAAGAGGAGGTGGAGGAGCAGCACGAGCAGCAACTTGATGAAGACGAAGTCAAATGACATCAACAACACTGCGGGGAGGAGGAAGAGGAGGAGAAACTTGAGTACTTGAGAGACAGGAGAACTAGAGAAGGATATGAAGAAGAAGGATTAGAGAAAGGTGGATAAATAAGAAAACTCAAACAAGTATTAAGAAGGCATTCTCGATCTCTCACTGTCCATCCCTCCCACCAAGAGTCCACCATCCCCTCCCTCTCCCTGCCTACCTTTACCTGTGTACAATAATTGTCCGGCCTCGCGACACCCGCGCCAGCTACACGTAAATCACTTAAACATAAAAAATCACAAAATATTTTACCAACCACGACCCGAGCACACTCGGGTGTAATTTCCTCAGTGTATACAACGTGTGAATATCTGTCAAATAAATTCACTGCTGCTATAAACTGCACCGTATATGACAAGCCAATTAAGCGTTTTTTTATATATATATCAAGGGGTACGAGAGAGGTTCGTCAGGTCAATTAGCTGGCTTGCCTCGCCCGCTGACATCCGCCTAGCCTGCTGACACTCGCCTCGCCCGCCTTACCTGCTGACACACGCCTAACCAGCCTAGCCTGCTGACACTCACCTCGCCCGCCGACACCAATCTCACCGACCGACACCCGCCTCACCCGGCAACGTCCGCCTAGCCTGCTGACACCCACCTCGCCCGCCGACACCTGTCTCGCCCGCCAACGTCCGCCTAGCCTGCTCACGCCCGCCGACATCCACCAAGCCTGCTGACACTCACCTCGACCGCCCACACCCCACTAGCCTCCTGACACCTACCTCACACGCCTCGCCCGCAAGGCTCCAACTCGTTCCTCCTGGTTACAAACGAAGAGAATAGGCCACAATTTACTCTATTTTCTTTTAACAGTGAAAAATTTGTCCAGCTGTGACCACAAAATAGGGAGACGAGGCTCAGGCGATAATCGTCAACAATGTGTGCCGGCGCGGGGTCAGGGTGGCGACCAGACAGGCAGACACTCACCTATATGTCTTAGGAGGATAAATGTTAGTTAGCTCAGGGGACCCGCCTTTCTGCCGCCGCTTACCCATTACTATGGCTTTCGGATTTCTTGCTATTTATCATATATATATTTTTCAATCAGTGTGTGGAGTTGGTCTCAACTACCTCCCCATTCAGCTCATCCCATTTACTGCCAATGCTTCTAAGAATCTTACATGTCGTAATTATGTCACCTCGATCCCGTCTCTTTTGTTTTTCCTTCGGTGAAGTCTAGTTCCCTCAGCCTTTCCTCAGACGCTTCAGATACACGAGTGTTAATTCTCTGTCTTTTCAAACTATGTTAATGCTAGAGTGTTAATATGTGCCTCCAGTTGTAGGGCATGTAAGTGTGCCCATAATGTTTTCCTTTTGTGTCACAAGCAACACCCTGTAGCCTCCCTTGGCCCCAAATCTTAAGTCACCTTGTACTATAGTTGAGCAACCTGCCCTCCTACAAAGAACGTCGTATTTCGATCGTATGCATTACATAAGGCCAAAAATTGTCGTAAATGGAAGCGGCTGGCGAAAGTGACGTAATGTCCCGTTTTCTGTTTTGGGTCCTCTGGTAGGTTAGGAGAGGACACTTTATATTGACCGTTTTCCTGACGTTCGGACACCTTAGGAGGACGGGCTGAGTCTGCAACCCATGAGTGTGTGTGTATTTGTATGTACTATTTGTGCCTGGTGTATCAAGCTGGTGCTCTTGGACCCCGCCTTTCTAACCGTCTTTTGTTTAATGAACTGACTCCCAATCAATTTTTTTACTTATAATTTATAGAATATACTGTAAATTTCTCTCTACACACACACACACACACACACTCCCGGAACTGAGAGGTATGAGTTACGAGGAAAGGCTAAAGGAGCTGAACCTCACGTCCCTGGAAAACAAGAGTAAGGGGAGACATGATAACCACTTACAAAATTCTCAGGGGAATTGACAGGGTGGACAAAGACAAACTCTTTAGCACGGGTGGAATACGAACAAGGGGACTTAAGTGGAAACTTAGTACTCAAATGGGCCACAGAGACATTAGAAAGAATTTTTTCAGTGTTAACAAATGGAATGCATTAAGTAGTGTTGTGGTGGAGGCTGACTCCATACACAGTTTCAAATGTATATATGATAGAGCCCAGTAGGCTCAGGAACCTGTACACCAGTTGATTGACGGTTGAGAGGGGGGATCAAAGAGCCAAAGCTCAACCCCCGCAAGTACAAATAGGTGAGTACAATGTCCCTAACTTGCATACCATGCAAGTTATTTGAGAAAATTGTGCGAAAAAAGCTAATGGAACATTTGGAGCGAACGAGCTTTGCCAGAAAGCCTTTGACACAGTACCACACCAGAGACTAGTGCGAAAGCTGAAGATGCAGGCAGGAGTGAAAGGGAAGGTACTCCATTGGATAAGGGAGTACCTAAGTAGCAGAAGACATCACTATGAGGGGCGAGGTCTCAGATTGGCGAGACGTCACCAGTGGAGTCCCGCACAGTTCGGTCCTTGGACCCATACTGTTTCTGATATATGTAAATGATCTATCAGAGGGTATAGAATCATTCCGCTCATTGTTTGCTGATGATGCGAAAATTATGAGGAGGATTAAGACGGAGGAAGAAAGTATGAGAACACAAGATGACCTTGACAGACTGAATGAATGGTCCAATAAATGGCTACTAAAGTTCAACCTGAGTAAATGTAAGGTCATGAAACTAGGTTTCATTACCTTTCATGATACTAAGAAAAAGATCTAGGAGTTGATATCACACCAAACCTGTCTCCTGAAGCCCACATCAAAAGAATAACATCTGCGGCGTTTGCAAGGCTGGCTAACATCAGAACAGCCTTCAGGAACCTGTGCAAGGAATCATGCCTATCACCCTTCTTGTATACTTGGACTACATTGGCCGTCTTCCAAATTTTTGGCAGTTCACCTGTTACCATTGACTTGTTATACACCATGGAGAGTGATAGGCACAGAGCTTCTGCTCCTTCCTTTAGAATCCATGGTGAGATTCCATCTGGGCCTATAACCTTTGTCACGTCCAAATCTGGCAGATGCTTCCTTACCTCCCCACTGGTAATCACAAACTCCTCTAGTGGTGTCTGGTTTGATGTTCCCTCCCTTATCTCTGGGACTTCTCCTTGCTCTGAGGTGAAGACTTCCTGGAATTTCTTATTGAGTTCCTCGCACACTTCCTTGTCGTTTGTAGTGAATCTTTCTGCCCCTATCCTCAGTTTCATTACCTGTTCCTTCACTGTTGCTTTCCTCCTGATGTGGCTATGCAGCAGTTTGGGTTGAGTCTTTGCCTTGCTCGCTATGTCATTTTCATATTGCCTCTCTACCTCTCTTCTCACCCTGACGTATTCATTCCTGGCGCTCTGGTATCTTTCTCTGCTCTCTAGTGTTCTGTTGTTTCTATAGTTTCTCCACGCCCTTTTACTTAGCTGCTTTGCTAGCTTGTAACTCTGATTAAACCATGGGTTTCTCATCTTCATTTCATCTTTTTTCATTTTGGACTGAGACGAACTTGTCTGCTGCCTCCTTACACTTCTGTGTGATGTAGTCCATCATGTCTTGAACCATCTTTCCTCTGAGCTCTGTTTCCCAAGCTATTTCAGTTAGGAATTTTCTCATCTTCTCAAAGTTTCCCTTTCGGAATGCCGGCCTCTTGCTTTCTGGTAATTTCCTTGAGTACATTAACCCTTCTTCGACCAGGTATTCAAACAACAGTGTGTGTGTGTGTGTGTGTGTGTGTGTGTGTGTGTGTGTGTGTGTGTGTGTGTGTGTGTGTGTGTGTGTGTGTGTGTGTGTGTGTGTGTGTGTGTGCGTGCGTGGTGTGTAAGTGTGGTAGGCGTGCGCGCACGTGCGTGTATACCTGACACCAAGAGGCCCCACCACACACAAACTTATCAGATGGGGCAAGACGCCTCTCGGCCTGCACGGTAGTCCTCGGGCGGGTGCACTATAAATCTGGAGGGCGGGCCTTACAGCCCAATAAACCACATGACGAGTACGTCCTACAGTCCCCCACCAACTTACCCCCCTTACTTTACCACAGCAACAACCGAACCACTAGCACCATCCCCACCAGCAACACCATCACCAGCTGCAGAATCATCACACTAGCTGCAGCACCACCAGCAGCTGCAGCACCAACCCAGCTACAGCATCACCTTCGCGAGCAGCAGCACTGAGCGAGCATCCGTCCATACCGTCATAGTCTTGTTCCCAGTGGGGGACCTTCGACTAGCATGCTTTATCTGATAGTGCGGGAGTTGGCCCCGGACGTCTCTATGGTCACCATCAAAATTTCATTTGATGTATATGAGAGCGCAGGCCCGGCCCGCCGGGATAAGCGGCCGGCACCGGGGCCTGGATTTAAGGCCTCCCTCCGCAACACGAAGGCGGAGATTACTTGGCCAGTTATCTGTGCGCTGGACGACCAGTATGGAAGTGACTGCTTTATTACTCCCCGTCCGGCTGTGCACGGATGCGTAACACTGCCATATGGCCAATATCTACAGCTCATCCGCAGAGTGTTTATACCTAAAGTAAAGACAGTTTAATAAGCGGAAAGTTTGGTAAGACAATGTGGAGTGAAGGTGTTGCAGTCGGCGGTGACCGGCAGGTTCAGCCTGCTGTAGATCCCATAGTCTCTCCTCTACAGATGCCTATCGTCGGGGGATGGGGGTGCAGGAGCCCCGAGAGCTCATTGTGTCTCAGGGTGTGGACTTAATTATCCATTGTCCTACAAGTGACGCCGTGAGCCCGGGGTGGCAGAGGAGGAGGCCTCGAAGGTCCCCAGCCTCTTCTGGGCGACTGTGGTGGCGTCTGCGGCAGGGAACACGCTGGAGGGTCGCCCTCACACAGCGGGAGGCTCTGCAAGGGAATTGACGGCGGCTATCTTGAGGTTTCCGATGCCTTCGTGAAACCCATCCGATCCTATTGTCCCCAAAAAAACTCTCACATTACCTGATGGCCTCCCTGATACTGCCTCTTATATCCCGGGCCAGATCCTCCACGAGATCAGATCCCACAAGAGTGAAAATGGCAGAACTAGAATATAATTATGTCAGCTTATGGAAGACACGAATATGGCAGAAAAATAATAACTTGCTGTTTAAAACTGCATGTGTAGAAAAACCCCGTCCCAGAGGTAATACTTAATTCCATACCACGTTTCGGCCGGCACCAGGCAAATGAGAGAGGCAGCCCTCAGAGTAGGTAGTAAACACGATAACAACACAACAGCCAGGCAGATCAACTACCAAAACAATAACATTCTCGCCTCCTCTAGGACAACAGACGAAATATACATTCGCATTATTATTCGCATTACATTCGTACAGTAATTCCAAATTCGAAGTTTCAAAGCAGACGCATAACCCGAGTAAGTTGTTATTGTTGTTATAAATTCAACATAGCACGGGCTATGGTGAGCCCGAAACTTACCTGGCACAGGAGCGGGGCAAGTAGCACGGGCTATGGTGAGCCCGTAACTTACCTGGCACAGGAGCGGTGCCCCGGGTAAGACAGTTTTATCCTTTAATAATGAGCAGAGAGGTACAGGTGAAGGAAAAGTTTTAGAAATGGGAAATATAGGAAAGGGAACTATCTGGAGAAAGCGCCAAGCCATCACGACTACATAGCACTTGGAGGACATCAGCATAAGGATTTGGGATGGGACGGGGGGAGGAAACTATCAGAAGACAACACCAAGCCATTACGACAATATAGCACTTGGAAGGGGACAGGATAATTACGGGCTATTCATGCCCGTGCCACCTCTTGGATGCCTTAATCTTTATCAATCGATCAATCGTCAGGGTAAGGATTTGAGATGGGACGGGGAAAAGGAACGGTGCCCAACCACTTGGACGGTCGGGGATTGAACGCCGACCTGCATGAAGCGAGACTGTCGCTCTACCATCCAGCCCAAGTGGTTGGGGGTAATGGAAAATACAGTATGAGTTATGACAGCAGGCAACCTGTCCGCCTTACTGACACCATGTTTATGTGTTTGGTAACTAAGCTTCCTGTCTCTTGTCAGGGAGCTGTAATGTGTGTAAGGTTCCTCATGTGTAATTTAACATGTATAGATGTCTATAAAGGAATATTATGTAGCATTCACATATACACTCCGATGGTTTTGTACATGTTATGATGTTTTGTTTAAGGGTCCTTTCATTGGAGGGGGGGAGAGGAGGCTATCTTGAGCCTCCCCAATACCTGTATATTGATGAAATACAGACCTTGTTCTGGTCTGTATTTCATCTTGGAATTGTGTATTGTAGGGCTTGGTTTCTATCAAGTAAATCCAAACTGTTGGGCCACCAACTGTGGTAGTTGGGCGTCCCATGACAAGATAATAACACGAGGAGGAGAGGATAAGGGTGGGGACACTAGATAAAACACACACAAGGTGTCAGCAAGGCGGACAGCTATCATAACACGCTATAGTCCCCATTTCTAATGTTGTTTCCTTCGCCAGTAGCTCTACATCTTCTTGACTTCCACGAAAAGTAAATAAACCAAAATAGCAGAAAGATCCGTCAACAGTTACATGCATAAGGAAGAGCAACCAACTGAGGCCTCAGAAAGACCTACTAACAAAGACAACAGAACAAGGAAGGAAGAGCTATCAACAAGGACACAAGGAAGGGAAGGGAATTATTAACACAAAAAAAGAACTTGCCGACACGACAAGCATGACTCTGTAATAATCCACGGAGGAAAAAAAGGGTAAACAAAAAACAATACAGTATGTACACAAGTTAAAAGAATCGAATTCCCTGAACTCTTAGTTAAAACTGGCTGCTCCCGCCATCCTGCGAGTCCTAACTAAGTGGGAAGATCTCACTGCCAACGTCAAACGTCAGCAGCAAGCAGATCACTGGCGGCAGAGGCAAGAGCAGTGTAGGTCAGTGGTGGTGGTGGAAGAGAGGCAGAGCCACCACACCAGCCTTTGTCTTGGCTAGTGACTCTCCACACCTGTCATGAATCACCCACCGGGTCCATACCTGCCTTCCACCAAACCCTGGATTATGCAACTTCCACCTCATTTATACTACCACCTAGTCTGTTCCACCTACCGGGATTTACCTCTTGATAAAACCATAACTAGCCACCACCACTACCATTACCAAGCAACCAGGATTCCTCCCACCAACATCAAGAACAAATTACCCACCACCACTACCAGTACTAGGAGTCAACCATTGAAAAGAGCCGATCGAATGAAGGTTTTAGCAGATAAAGGAAATAGATTTTGTAAATTCCCCTCGATACAATCAAATGTTTTCATCTCGCAGTATGATACTATTGACATGCTTGCGAAATCACCCGGTATCAAAATCACCCAAAACTGGCACCACACCACACCTTATTCACGAGTCTTAACCTGTCAGCAAGGCTGGCACTAGGACACGCTAAGCCTTGCAACACCTGTGCAAGTGGAGGTTATCCTTCTGAAAAAAGGATCTTATTGCAGATCTGATCCTGCCGTGCTGCAACCCTCCCCCCGCCCCCCTCCCTCTAGCTGTGTGCAACTTGTGAATGTGTTACACTAGACACTTGCACACACACACACACACACACACACACACACACACACACACACACACACACACACACACACACACACACACACACACACACACACACAGCTTATGTGGCGGAGAAACACAGAACATCTTAGATGTCACAGTCACTGACAACACGAATTGATGTCCAACTATGATGGATAAACATGGAACCAGAAATAAAGTTTACATTAGTATTATTACAATTATGCTTACAGACATTAATCCTTCCCCCCCCCTCACCTGCATGATCGACCCCCACCCCCACCCATCCACACCAACCCCCAACAGAGCCCTCTGGAACTCCACCCAACTACAACCCCCCCCACCCGGGTATATCTCTTTAACATACCCGACTTACAACTACAACTCGCTCAGCATATTTGTGGCACGCTTGTCTCACACCTCCCAGCCTCACCTCACGCGGAGAGCAACGATGGTTTATTGCACAACCAAAATTAATGTTAAGAGAATCATTCACTTGGAACCTACTGCCCAACACCCTTAACCAACTCACTGATGTGTACCGAGTTATTGCTGGCAGGAGCAGGAGCAGGAGCAGGAGGAAAATAAGAGATAGAAACTAGTAAGAAAGAGACAGGAGGATACGAGACCTGCTCACGTGTTCATGGCGGTTATCTTGAGGTTATCTTGAGATGATTTCGGGGCTTTAGTGCCCCCGGGGCCCGGTCCTCGACCAGGCCTCCACCCCCTGGAAGCAGCCCGTGACAGCTGACTGACACCCAGGTACCTATTTACTGCTAGGTAACAGTAGCTTCATTCCCACTATAACACCCGGATTCTTATGCAGCGCTTCCAGCTGGCCTCAGCTTTATTTATCTTAGTGTCTTATAGCTGCTCATGTTAATATCTTGGACAACCTTGTCGGTGTACTTCTACACTTTTTAGCTTATACACACACGAGATTCTTTCATCTGATGGTCTATTCACCTAGCAGTAAATAGGTACCTGGGAGTTAGACAGTTGCGTCGGGCTGCATCCTTGGTGTGTGTGTGTGTGTGTGTGTGTGTGTGTGTGTGTGTGTGTGTGTGTGTGTGTGTGTGTGTGTGTGTGTGTGTGTGTGTGTGTGTGTGTGTGTGTGTGTGTACCTACGTGGACTGATGAATAGGTACCCAAATACGGATTATGCATATAAGACAAGGCAAAGAGTAGAATTGGTAGTGGTGGTAGCATTGGTAGGAGAATGTGTGGTAGTTGTGGTGAGGATGGGGGGGTTGTTGCAGTAGTGGTTTGTGATGGTTGTCGTGGTGGTGTTTGTGGTGTAGGGAGCCGTTTATGGGGAGCAGTCTTACACTGCTATTGTATTTGGTCGTGCATTTTGTGGTAGTATTGTTGGTGTTACCGGTGTTAGTGGTAGTGTGAGGTGGTGGTGGTGGCTGTGAGGGAGGGGGGGGGGGGGTTAGGAGTGATGGTGGCTCTTCTACCTACTCTGAAGACCCGTCGAACAATGCCCGTCACTATACCTCTCCCCCCGGGACAATGTATGGTGCGAAAAACAATGACACGGCTGATTTATCGCTTTTTATTATTATTACTGTTGTTCCTAGAGGGCGCCTTTTAAAATGGCTGGTTTTAATTATCCTCGGGTTTTTGTTTTTTTTTTAGCTT